AGTAGGCCACCACATCATATTGCTCAGTGGATTTCTAGGGTTTACTGAATACTATTTGTGATCCCTAATTTTCTAAGCAATTCATTGATATCGAAAAGTATACTACTAACTCATGTTTCTGTGTACATAATACTGTAGAGATTTTTTAAATTCCTCACCTTTTCCACATCCTCAAAAGCTAAATTTTTCTTTGTTGTTTTAGCTCAATCTCTCAGTGAAAGGTCCACGTTGGTTTTCTATAAAGTCCTATGGTTTTTGCAAGCATGCCCATCTGCAACGACGGTACTTTTACATGTAACTTCTATTGACAACTATTTTTCAACTGAAGCAAAGGTTTTCGGTCTTTCTACTTAACTAAAGCCAACACAGGACTATAAGCAAATGAGATTGGTGAAAAGTTGCAGTTTTCTCATGGTTTTGAGCCTCAGATCTCGCTTAGTCTCTCAAGACAGAGAATGTACCTTGTCGGATTCTCCTAAGGTTCAACGCAGTTCATTGTTGCAGCACGGTCAAAGGTAAGCATTATAAATGTTATATTATTAGTTGGAAAGAGCCGGAATAGTCCTCATGTTTTTTTAGAAGAAATTTATGGCTTTCAAAAAGATTTTCTTAAATGTGCAGACCAAAGTGGGAAGAGAATATCACAGAAATGTTTCATTGCACAACACGTGTGTTTTCTCAACATTTTCAGTAGCGGCGACTGAAGTTGCATTTTAGTATAGGGTTAAATGAAGTTCTAAAGGAAGTAGAAGCCCAATAGGGTCACCACGGAGCAGTGAGCGGTACCAATTGTCTTCTATTTGCATAGCTGTGGTGTATCTTAGTGTGGCTGCGACATCGCTAGATTCCATTGTCGAGACGCTATGTTTCCTTATATAAAAAGCTGAAAGTGAAAAGGTGGAAAAGTTTTTATGGAATAAACGTGAGGTAAAGGGAAACTGAACCAAATGATGTGCCTTCTCGCTTCGACCACTCACACCGATTTTTGTTCCTAATTTCTGCGCTTATTCCTATGGTCGATCCTCTGAGATCGAATTCAGCAATGTGTCGGCAGTGAATCACGGAGCCAGATCCCTTCTGACTGAAAATAGGGTGTGATGAGGCCAGAAAACACGTCGCAGTGCCAATAATTTGCTTTTAGCTCAGCGATTAGAAACAAGATAGTAAGAAAAGGTTAGCGAATTTTATATGAATCGTCATGATAGCGCTTGGATGAACAATTGAAAAATGTGCCCAAAAAGAAGTTTCGTAAAAACTTACTCTTTTTGCGAAAATTAAGAGATAATCCACTGACATTGGGGAGCGTCGGTGGAATTTTGGTGTCTGGGATTCGATGTAGTTGATGTACACACGAAGTGGTTTCGATTTTCGTTGCGTACATGTCATTCTGGTTCCTAACTATTGATTTTGAGTTTTTCTAAGACCTTATGAACTACTCGACCCCGTAATTTTCTTGAGCTATTGCTGTATAACGAAAGTCAGTTACCGAAATACTAGTCAAACACAAGCAGACAAGGGACAGAATCGGTGGTGGTATTATCTAGGCATCTATAATTGTGACTAAAGGACGACAAACACGCTAGAGCACAAACAAGTGAATGTATTCAAATAACTTACACTAATAGGAAAACTGGTTCTAACAATCTACATCAGCCTTTTCGTAGTTTAGCCGTTGATTGTCTTCGGTTTTTTTTAGCTTTTATGGATAAAAATTCAATACGAACATTCAGTAGATACCACTAATTCTCACAAAAAGTCTCTTTGCCGAGTTAGAAAGGACTTCGATAGAGTCCACCTTGTCAAAACTACCACAAAATTTCACTTCTCCAAGAATCACCTTACATGAAAAAGTGCGCTAACGTTTTTAGTAGATGCATAGTAAATCTCTGCTAACAATTATCCTTATAGTTATCGAAGGTAGTCTTTTATGCTTAAGTACTGAAATTTTATAATACTTATATTTTTCTATTACATTTTTAAGCGTCATAAATCGTTCAATAATTCGATGCTTTTCTTCGATGAGCAAACACGAGGTTGTTATTATAGAATTTATTAGGAAACAATAGCTGACGTTTCGGTGGCTTCGCCTTCTTCAGAGAAGTTTACCTATTGTATTTCAGTTAGTTGGTGGATAGCAACCGCACAGTGTAATACATGGCTGAGTCTTCGGCTCCTAAGAAGGCGAACCGCCGAAACGTCAGCTATTGTTTCCTAATAAATTCTATAATAACAACCTCATGTCGACTTATTGAAAAAAAACATCGATTTATCAATCAATGCCGAGGCTAGAAGAAAGTCGGTCTTGGGAATTGCTACGTTCAATAATTATTTATTATGGGCATTTCAATGCAGTGAAATGCACTTATGTCTTGTATGTCTTGCTCGCTCTATCGACACTCGGCCGAAATAAACAGGAAAGAAAGTAAAAAAAAAGAATGCTATTCAATAACACTACAATAGAAATGATTTCTGAGATTATGAATAATGACTTGAGTAAAATACGACGCGCACATGGCATGCTAAATTTCTCTATATCGATGACATAGAAATACTGTGTACTGATGAGAAGAAGTTGCTAAAATGACGACATTCGTCCTATAGTTGTACGACTGGCACATGAATCAGGCAACTGAGGCTGGATCAAGATTGGAAAACACTCGGTCGATCCATAGACCATACATCTAACAGATGCGGGAAAAATAACGAAAGGACTAGTTTTCGATGAATTCTGAGGATGCGAGACACCTATTCGAGGTCACTAAACAACAACAGTAACAAGTATAGGGGTTGGATGGGATAGAGTTGATTTAGAAAAAAATGGATGACAGGATTCTACACGGCATTCGTTTATCGTGTTTTTCCTCTTAGTGTATGACATTTTACTGGAAAAGCTTGGCACACGGGAAATGTATATAGACGAAGAATATGAGCGATAGTCAGAGAAGGAGAGTAAGAGTTAGACTCGTTGATGTTCAAGTTGCTGTTGAGCAGCTGCGGGTTGAAGCGGATATGTTCCGGGCACGAAACCGTAACCTGCTGCAACAGCATAACCGTAAGGATCCAAGCTGGCTGCTTGTGCCGCTTGTACTGTGGCTGTAAAAAAAACCCTTGCAAAATATTCAATCACCACTGCATTCACTAACACTATAAGCGTTATGTGGGTGTTTATTTCTGTTTTACCATACAACAAATGATATTAGACATTTCTTTGCTATTCGTTTAAAGTGAACTTGCTGTTTCATGTGAAATGCTAAGATCTAGTTTCGAATGGACTTAAGTTGACATGCCCAAGGCTGTTGGAGTTTTGTGCAAATGTTTCTGCAATTTCGTTTCCAACATGTGCTTTCCTATAATTTCCGTCGATGGTATAGCACTGGATTTTATTTGATCACCAATTAAAAATGTTCCTGTCATTTTCACTTCGTCCTATCGAAGGCTAATAACTGAAAATTTGAAAAATCTCAAATTGTACCAGGAAGTATCCAGAAATAACCTGGAAATCGTGATCCAGCCTGTGGAATTGTGTATGCTGCTGCAGCACCTTGCCCGTTGGCAACCGCGGCTGCCAACGCTGTGTAGTCGACAGCTCCTTGACTTTGAGCTGCAGCAGCTCCCAGTAATGGGTTTATAAGACCGGCCGAGGGATAGTAGAGTTGAGGAAGCCTGTAATTAGGAGAGTATTAGCGCAATTTCTTGGATACATCCATGACGAAGCACGCAGCTCACCTCAAACTCACATGCGTGCCGGCACAGAATCGCTGGTTAGTGGCGAAAAGAATTAGATGATGGGAGTGGGGGGCCGAAAGAAAGAAAAGTGTTGGTCACGATGTTGAATGAATGGATGAACGGATGGATGTTTTATTTGCGTGCCCACCTCACAACCACCTAGCTAACATAGCTGATGAAGAAGACAGTAGAAATTAAAAACGTCTCACTCCTCACGACCACCTAGCTAAAGTTGATAGTTGATCTAAACGCCACCACCTCACACACAGCATGGAATCAAATCGCACACGCACGCCTAAGCTTACTGTATTTACTGCTTTCATTACTCCGTGGACAACCAGGGCATACATAGCAGCTAAAATGATATTTGATGAGCAGTAACAACAGTTGTAGTAGCAGTCAGTAGCATTGACCTGACCCGGTTACCGTGGATCGAATGACGAAGGAATGCACTAATCGATACAAGCTCGGTGAAACTTACCCAATACGAGTCGGAAACAGAGCTTGCAACTGTGTCTGTAGTGGTAACTGGACATGATTTGCCAATGCTGAAAATGATTCTAGGATCAATAAACACCAAGCAAATTGATTAAAGTTTCATCCATGGATGGATTATTGAGGTCGTAGTGATGCATGTTCTGCCATATAGCCACATATTGTCCAATTCAGTAACAATCATAACAATAGAATCTACAAGGATTGTTTAAACGTGGTCAATATTTACAGAAATTTCAGCTCTCATCTTAACCAACAAAGCCAAAAAGGTGGAGGTTTCTAGGCGTTTAAGAAACAGTTTACACTTCAAAAGTAGTGTAGTAAAGACGGCACCGCAACTGCGTTCGTTGTTTGGCCGATATCCTAGAATTTCAGGATTTTCAAACAACTACCACGTGATGAAGTGTTTGTCAGTACTTTAGCATAGATACGTAATGTGTATGACGATGAATTCTCAAGATAACAAAACGCTTAGGGTTACGAGAGAGTTGGTTGAAATGACGATATGAAGGTCTTCTATTCGCGACAAGAATTAATAAACGATATTGCACGAAGAAACACTACGGCAACCTGACGTACAAGAGTGAAAGACTTCTCTAAAATAGAACTGGAAACAAATTAATTATCAAATTATAGATGAAAAATGGATGTAAAGATAGAGCATGAGATATGACCATTTATGGAGCATCTGAAAATCGTGGTTGAGATTTCCGTGGTGAAAAAAGTAGATGAGCTAGTCTATGAGCTGCTTTTTTTCTTGGCCTTCTATTAAAAACAAATTACTCACCAGCCAGCTGCACATTAGTACGTGGTTTTGCTCCAAGATATGCTAAATTCACATTAGCTTTTCGACCGTCAATAATCGGATTCGGATCCTTACATGCTCGCTCGGCTGCTGCACGGTCTTTCATTGTCACCTGAAATTCTGGATTAAAAAATCCGAGAACGAAAACATATGGGACGGTGAAGTGCTAGAAGTTTCGAAACAATAGTGTCTACTGTCTATTGGATATCGTGTTTGAAGAGAAGAAAGAGAAAGAAAAACGAAGATTCAGTATCGTTGGCTTATTTGGTCAGAAAAAGTAAACATCTATAAATTGAACCATTTGCGAGTCCTATTCACTTAACTCTTCCCTCACTAAGGACCATAGTCAGAAAATATTCATCGTTAAAAAAATATGGTGTCTTTGATATAACGATAAATAAAGCACCTAAATATATGCTGTTGACAGATAGCTCCTCGATTTTGATTCTTTCTTAAGTTTCCATTGTCATCTCTCAAACTACTGAAGCTACAAAAACAAGGATGACGCTTATTCAGATAAAGACTAATTATTACCTTTAATTACACACGTTACTTACGAGGTCATGCGTAGCGCACTAGTTAGAGGTGCCCTGTGAAGTGCACACGGTTATTAGTTCCATCTAGCGCTCCAAGTAAAACAAGCGCCATCCATACTCATGTGGTCGAAAAAGTAGTATCAGACTTGTCTATGGGGATAAATATGTATCCAATAAACTCTGCGAGCTTAAGAATGAAATGGAATGCATCGCGCATCCCTCAGGGATTGATCAACGCCAAGAGCTCTTATGGATCATTTAACTGTAATGGATTGCTGGAAAGAAAGTTAAAAAAAGAAACTGTGGAATAATGTCGAATGTTGCTGTTCTACACGGTAAAAATGGGTTCAATACGTACTAGAAACACTACAAATATGGAACAAAGGACAGCATACAGGAGGATCAAATATAATATTATTCAGTTACCCCTGCCAATCCCACCATTTCCCAGGAGGATTATGTATAATACTACTCGGTTACCTCACTTCTTGAACTTTTCACATGTACACAAAGATTTTCTGAGAACTTTTTCTAACAAACCCAATAAAGGAAAACTCTTAGTTGACATTTGGAAAGATGAGGTACTGTAAGTCCAAAATAAAGTTGGATTCCACAAAAAATTCACTGACGTTGTGTGAGGATGGATTGATTGATGCTGTCATGTTAACGTTGTTTTTTTTAAATTTGTTGCTGAATGGCCAAAATAAACTAATGATTAGTTCTCATATATTGATTAACTCATCAAACCAAAGACTAATTGAAATTAATCGATTTTTCAGAGTAACTGAATAGTTCCTACCATAAACGAAATGAAAATGAGTTATGGTCAAATTTCCTAAGATGAGTAAGAACAAATTTCTATAACAAAAAGAAACGCCGATGTCGAATACAATAATGGGTTATAGTGGTCCATTCGTAGTTGATCAATCCCTGAGGGATGCGCCATACATTCAACTGCGAACGTAGCACCATAGAGATGATTCAATTCATATCTGGTCTGTATAATGACTTGCAATGGCCCAGCGATCCACCAAGTTAGCTATTTTATTCTCAGTGCTACCAGTTTCGAATAAATTTTGCGATCATGAAGGGACAGAAGAATGCTTGGTAAGCCAGCTCTTACAAGCAAACTAGAGATGTATGCAGGTAGGTATTGCAGGACATCTCTAATCACCGCGCTACACCGCTCATGATACAGAATTTAGTTGAATTTAATAGTGTTATTTCTTAGAAGATGATTTCAAGGAAAAACAAGAGATAACTCACAAAGCCATATCCTCTACTTTTCTGCGTTTGACGATCGGTTATCACAACAGCTTCTTCGATGTCACCAAATTGTTCGAAATATTCGTGTAACGTTTTATCACTTGTATGGTATGGCAGACCACCTACGAATATCTTTGTGAACATCGTATCTCGACTTCCTATAAAGCTAATTTTACACTCATCCATCGTGCTTAGCAAGAAATGAAGCCAAAGCCATTTCCTGAAATCGACGTTTGTTTGCTAGACGTGCTGGAAATAAAAAGCCCTAAGAAAATTGAACATTAAAGAAACTCAAGACTCTCAAACTCCCGTGCCTATTCTATTACAATAATAACTGTCCATAATCAGGGCAAGTTAGCTTGATAAATGGGCGCCAGTAATACCGACCGCGATTGAAAACTCAATGGCAAATATGAGGCAATAACTCATTGGAAAATTACTATTACTGTTCCTGTTAAGAAAACCAATGGTGATTCTAATAGTTTATCGTGCCATAGCATCTGGGTGTATTCTGGGTCTTGTCTCTGGGACGTATTTACAACGTGGTTTCATTCTCAGGAAGACCTATAGGACTAAGGTGTTAGACGTCTCCATCCGAAAGCTTTACGGAGGCTAAATCAACGCCATCCCTGAGCCCGATGACATACCCATGACTACTTGCTAGCAGAGAACAGTAAAACAGTAAAAGTAAAAGTAAAAATAAAAGCAAAAGTAAAAGTAGAATTAAAAGTAAAAGTAGGAATTAAATAAAAAAGAAAAACAAAGCAAACAAAACGTATGGAAGTGTAACAAAACAATGAAGCTGAAATAAGTAAAAAGTGGGCAACAAAAATAAAGTGAAACATGTGGAAAATATGATGCTTCTCATGCCCATCAAGTAAACAGAACGCAATGAATAGCATTGTTGTATAACGGCGACCGAGAGAGACTTTACTGCTATCAGCGACATCTGAGTGTTGTACTTCGCATGCGACTCTGTTACCAGTTCAATGACACTAGACAGATCAAGTGAAAGTTGAAGTAAAGGCGTTGAGGCGATACCAGCGTGCTTGTTAATTTATTGTACTTGGTTGTGCTACATGCAATATTTGTCGTTACAAATAAATTAACCATTGAATCCGACCATCGGCTACATGTAGAGAGGTTTTTCATCGAAGTGTTCATCAGTATATGCAAATAAGAGTTATTCAACCTTGTTATCGTCCATCGATAATATCGAATCTAATTTTTTTTCGGACTCAGTGATTCCACTGCATCATATTAATCACATTCTATTAACTTCAATGTAATGACAACTTCATACGAAGAGAAAAATTCCCACCAATTATCGAGATGTATGAGAAGTAATACACTTTTGGTGAGAAGGACTTTGTTTTTAGCGTCTTTGACAAAAAAATGGCCACCGGTAGAATACCGGGTTTTGGTGGGGCATAAATGCAGTCTTAACTTGGAATCTGGGTGGAAATTTCAAACTGTATCTCATCTTAGCTGACTCCGTCAATGGAACTCCCTTTGCAAGTCGAACTTTGACAGCCAGGATCTATTGAGCCAAAGAGTAGAGAGTGAGGCAAGGGATAAGTACAGCGCGTATAAATGCATAAGTATAAAGAAAGGGACAGGATTATGCTCATAATAACAACAATATCAGACTTTCAAACCCGTGTAAGACGTTATCTGACGTCTTGTTGTTATCACACAAAAATATGCAAGAAATGAAGAGGTGTAGAATTCCATCATACCTATCAGTGAATCAGTTCCGGCGGAAGCGAGTGCAGCGGCAGCAGCCTGCATTAGTGGATCGCTCAACTGTCCATATATCGAAGGAAGCATAACTGAAAAGCAGAACGAACTAGCGTCTTGACAAGAAATAATCGTATCTGAGGAGGTTAATTCGTAAATCCATGAGATTTTTCACGAAATGGACAATGCATTGCCCAGAAAATCTTACCTATTTAGACGCTACAAATGCTGTACACAGCACACCCCACAAACAAGCGACGAAATCCCAGTGACGGGAAATTGTAACGTCGATAAAATCTTACAAAAATCTTCTTTATAGACATTCAGATAAAAAACGAATCAAAGAGGAAAAACATAGCGATTTTAAGAAAAGCGAAGTTCGACTAGGAATGACTCCAGCTATGCTGAAGCAACTTGCCTAGACGATTCAGTAAAGTAAACGTTTCAACGACATGAAGAATTCGGAGAAGAGCAAGCGAATCCATTGGAAATTGGGATTTACTAAAGTAGATGTGCTTTATTTAATGTAGAAATTGTTCCCTTCTTTGAGCAATCGATTAGAAGTCAGTCGCGACTATTCTAATTGGAATAGAATGCAATAATAGGAATAACTAGAAAAACTGCAACTACGTCACTATCGGTAACCCAGTCAATCACTCAGGAAAATGAAGCTGGCCAGATAGACAAAGGGCAAGCGTTATCAAAAAAAAAAGAGGCAATAAAAGCAAAAACCATAGTCGGCATAGATGACAGTTAAGTATTGGTCTGGTAGAACAAGGCTTCTTCGAAGAAACTTCAGCAAAGAAATGAAAAACAGCGAAAGGCTAGCGAACGAGATTCGTCCACAATGAATGAGGTCAAGACGAGTCGATAGCCCAGCTTGTCAGTTCAATGGTATAGATTCTATTCATATACACATTGAATGATTAAATGTATGAGGGAAGCACTTATGAAGGAAATTTATTGATATTGATGAAAAAAAACAAAACGTCTGGATGACAAAAGTTGGTTGGAAATGTCGCTTTTCACTCACCATGACACCACTCTTGGTTCATATTTTACGACTATTACTGGTTCTTCTCAAAGTTATATTATCCTTTATAATTATTTTGTAGAAGAAATGCTTGTTCTCAACTATTACCCAATCACATGTGAGCCAAATCGTTGGTTAAAAACCACATAGTATGAATAGAACGTCACATTTCGATATAAAAAGACGATTGGATGGATCCCATATGTAAATTCTAATTAAGCATTGCGACATGAATGCGCAGATGAAAGCTGATATTCTCAGTGTCGACACCAATTAAACGATTGTTGATTGAATATCTTCTACATCAAAGTCGATAGCTGAACTCTTTAGAATGACAGTGATAGCGACGAAAATGAGAGACTGAAGTGAACGGACGAATTTCAGTGAATTGTCGTATTCTATTCGGATAATCTTCACTCTAAAAGACTTATGAACGTGACATGAAAGAATTCTAGGATGTCTTCATTTCGAAGGAGGTGAAAGAATAGCGGTAGTCGTCGTGAAGCTCATGAAATTGTGCATTTCACCCAGCATGAGAGAGGGCAGCACTTCTGCGTTGCGATTGAGGCAAGACAACAGGAATGAGTGGGAGGAGGTCTTAAGAGTCAACACCACAACTGCACTCGCTCCTCTAACACTGACAGCGAGCAGCCACTCGAGCAACTGTTGTCGCTCACGCTCGCAATCGCGTCTTTCGCGTTGTCGACGGCGACAAAACCACCGACTGCTTTCGTCTACTTTCGTTCTCATCGTTGTCATCGTTACCTTCATCGCCGGCTCAATCGCCGTTCTCTTCCTCCTCATGCCCATCGACGTCGTCGTCGTCGTCGTCGTCGGTCAACTAGGGAATCACAGAGCATTTAGCTGTGCATGAGTAGTGGTGAACTCCTTAATGATCACCAAAGAACGAAAAGAAACACCAAAAGAGGGGACATCGATAGATTGAGAAGAAAGAAAGTGGAAGACGAAGATACCCTTTATCACCATTACTTTAACAGCTCTTCGGATTTTATAATATAGAACAGCCAACTCAGTTTGAACTCAAGAGCTACAGCAGTTTGGTATGCGTCCTCACCTTCTACTGCTATTTCCATAAGAAGTAATAAGCATAGATATTAATTGAAGGCCGTGAAAATTGGAATATTACACCAAAACGTATAAAGTATATCATATTTTCAAACGGAAACACAACAGTATTGGACACCGTCGTCCATCTAACATCTTAATAACCAAGACTGAAGAGAGACGAACGAATGGATCCATCGAGGAATAGTTTTTTATTTCTATATCACATACAAGTAGGAAAACTACACAACGGCACTTGAAAGTAATAAACTGAGGTTGTAAGTGAATGTCTAAATAGTTTGATTGAAGATGAAAAGCAACTGACGATCTCAAATTAAATGTTTACGAAGTTTATGAAAAATCTTTTCGTGATTTCAAACAAATGTTTACTCTGACAGTCCTTTTGCTCAGTGGGTCACTCCAGATTTTTCTAAAATTACGAGATGTCTTCTCTGGCAAAGAGTTCACCAGCTACGACGTTCAACATTTAAAAAAAACTATTATATAGACTGCTAACGCTATTTGTATAGATTGCTAATAATAAGCTCAGAGAAAATTATCGACAGAGTTTGGATTCCCATATTCATATCTCTGCCTCTCATAGCCTTCATATTACGAGTTTCTGTAGTCTACAAATTATATTAACTTTCTTTTCTTAGTGTATCGGCACTTAATTCATCAGTATCTTCATTACTGAAGAATAGGTTTCACTTGCTTTCAACATGAGCACCTTTCTATAGTATATCACACAACCGCCGTTTTTATTCCGACCCATAGAATCCCTTCAGTTTATGGTAACGATTTTTCTGGGTATCGTTTCCACTAAAGCTCCCAAATCCTTAAGCACTACCTAGTTGCTGGTGTAAGCTGCTTGTATGATTGATGAAAGTAGGCAGGGATTTTCTTACTTTTTAAAGGAAAAAGAGAGAAAAAATTACGGTGATCTTACCGTAGTACTCGCCGGGTGAAAATCGTTGCTACTTATTAGAAAAAAGAGAAATCTAAAAAAAAAGAGAAGTGTTAAAAATGTAGCGGCTAGAAAGCATGTTGCTAACAAACAACATTAAGCTTTTTAATGAAAAATACAGAAATGAAAAAATAAAGCTGAAAGCTTTATTTGAATCACTTTGTAATCATATAGATGGAAGGCTACTTTATTGTCAAAAATATCACACAGTTGTTAGATTTTTCCCACAAAGAAACTGATGTACACCTAACTCTATGATTATGTAAAGTCACTAAAGCATTTTGGAGCTGAAAAATGGAGAATTTGTGGAGGATCAAGAGAACTTGCAACTAGTGTGGCCAACAAGTTTGAGATCTTCCTGAAGATATGCATACTCGGCCATTTACCTCATATTTTCTTCACAGGTAGAAATTTATTAAAGGCAAAGCTTTGGAGTGGTTTGCGCCTTTGTGTGAATTCTTTTCTATTCAAGTAAATCTAATTACTACCTGGTTATTGAAACAGCCTAGCGTCTCTACTTTCATCCTACTCTATTCCAACCTTAACGCATCACTATTGTTCGAGCTGATGTGAGGCGGCGATTGCGATCCTATTCATCAGTTACTGCCGTTATATCATCCTGTGGCAGCTGCATCTGGTTATGTCTGTCCTCTTCTTGATCGCAGTGTGTGTGTGTTTACTCAGCGCTATTTCATTGCGGGATATTCCACCGCTCATCGATCCATATCCCAGCAATCATTTAATCCTGGATAGTGTCAGTTCATTCAGTGGAGCTGACAGGACAACGACGATGTAGATATGGTCTTGTGATCGTCAATTTCTGGCCTTGCGATTAAGATTATGATACCGCTGAACGACAAACTCTTCTTATGATGAAACTGTAGATGTCTAAGTGAATTCTAGCACTAGTCAACACAATAAAACTCTGTCGTATGTAAGAGATGGGTGGTGAGATCGCAGCAATGAAACTACATAGGCCAACCTTCACCAGCGTATGTTGCCTAGTTGGTTCAGAAAATTGAAGACATGATAAAGCATATGACAAACCCGTCCCGAAACCCCTTCTATCTCTCCTTCTATCTCGCTCTCTTTCTCTGTCTCTGTCTCTCCCTGTCTTCCACATACACACACCCACACCCAAATACACATAAACACACATAATACAGTAGAATGACAAATATTATTAGCAATAGAAATGAATTGCGGAAATGTTTCAATCAATAGGTATTGAAAACGATTATGAACGAATAGCACAGCCGATTGAATGTTTTAAAGTGCTATTATGAAAGCAAAATTAAAATTTATATCACAGCTCAATTATGGAGGAAAAACGACTTGTTTGGTGTTTCTTGACTGGATACCAGACGCTGCTGTTGAGACGAAGGGATAAGGGCATCGCTCATGATGGTTATACCGTATTTAATGTACTAGAGCACGGTGGACTTTTTGATTTTTTGTCCAACTATAGTTTCGATTCGCAATCTTTCAAGATAAATTATGTAGTTAAAAAAGTAGGATTGCCTTAAGAGACATTTTGGTGGAATTCCCGGTCTTGTGGATGAGCTAGGGCTAGTCAGGGATGATTTGCCGTTAGAAAGTAAGCGACGACAGACAAAACTAGCTTATGCGCTGATACGCAAACATTTCGCATAGCTTAGCAATTAGTGAATTTAGTCGCTAATTTAATGAAACGTTGGCATTCTAAACTGAAAAGGCAAATACGTCTCTGGCTTCCACTGGACGACAATATGACGTCGTCGCACCCCATTACAAGTATGCGTGTATATGTGTGTATGCCTGTATGTATGTATGTATATGTGTATGCATGTATGTAGGTATGTATGTGATGTGATGTGATGTATGATATATGTGGAAACTAAAAACAAGAAATTAGAATGAGAGAGAACTTCTGATTAGGATGAACACCGTGGAGGAACAACTTGATTGACGTTTCGACGTGGAGATCTTGAAGAATATCACAAATCGATAGCGATCTGAGCAGTTAAAATTTGCTGTCAAGCGAACGTTACGAAACAACAACAAAAAAAAAGATAACGCCGTTGAGAGATCCTTTCCCTCAAGTTAGTGTCGGAAAAATCTCGTCAGTGATTATCCATCAGTTCCTTTCCTGAGTTACACAGTCAAGTGAAACTCGGACATATTCGACACAAATGTTTTCAGAGTGTAAGAATGAGTTTGTGCCATTATTGTTAAGCTCGGATACGGTGAAATTGGTTAGTGATTACGGTTGTTTGCTGTTAAGAGAATTGCACACCAACAAAAACTGGTTATATGAAGCAATTAGTTAGCTGATAGTAATATTGTATGACGCAGATTTACATAGAGACACACAACAGTCAGACGGATGGGCTCAAGCGTACACACGGACATGCGTTCGTGCACATACGCACATACATACACACATACATACATACATACATACATACATACATACATACATACATACATACATGCTTACATACATACATACAACATGTATACGTGCACAGTAGCCACACCCCATGCCATCTTCATCACAATATCCTCTCTCTGCCTTCCTCTCTCCATCTCTCGTTGTTTCTCTCTTCCTCTCTTGAATGTGAAGTAAATAGAAAAAATTGTTAAACGCTCTCAAAATTAATGATGATGAGTGTAATGAAGAAGTCAGAAGCAATAGATAATACGTTTTTATTGATCATCCTTGTCGAGGGAAGAAAAGAGTTGAAGACTCTGACAATGCCATAGACGGTGACGTTGACAACGAATAAACGACGTCGGTTGGTCCACTTATATTCGGATTATCACCATCGACATTTATCTAACTTCGGCATTCTCGAATAGCACATGAAAGAGTTGGTGAAAGCCATTGAAATTTAGAGGCGTCCTGGTGGAAATTTATGAATGCGAAGATTGATTGCACATATGGAATAAAGCGCAGCTAATTTGTGGTTGTTCAATGAGAGGAAAAGAAGGCGTGAAGGAACGTTCGAGACAAGGACAGCCCGGGTTGACGTCGTCAACTGCACAACTCGTAAGTATAAGCAGTGACGACAAATGAACATGTAGCGACGCGCGCTTACAAATCCGAAGCGATACTAAGCGAGTGAGTGGAATATATTTACACGAAATTCTTTGTATTAGTCACAACGTTGAATTCCACAACTTTTAACAGCAGTAGGAGCAACAGTAGCCAATGGGAATGTAAGACAAGTGGACTGCCGAGATTTTGGCTAAAAAACTTCAATGAAGTTGATATGAAGGAAAAGACAACCAAAACCGATGTGTGGGGTGAAATCGTCGCACTACTGCTGTACCAGACACCGTCGTCGCTGCCCTGTTGAAATGAACAATTGGCGCAGCAGCTGTCAAACAGGCACAGTTAGAACAGACAACGAACAGATCTGCTCGACAGACTACGGAAAAAGTGTTCGACCATAATTTCACACTAAAAATACAGATCTACAGTATGTAAATGAAGAAAATAACAAGTAAGGTTATTATTCCTTCATTTAAATACTTTTCCAATACTCCTACTGAAACACGTCTACGAAACAAAATATCTCAATTTCAGAGAAAAAACACTAAACAGGCACAGAATACTAGGCAGCAATATTTGGATTTGGTAATCCCATCGCCTCCCTCGATGGTTTACCGTGTCGAGTGGGTATTCCTAGGTGTCGAATTGCGATTCATAACAGAATATGAACCTCAAGGGTAAGATCGCCAATTCTCCAGAGAAATTCTCCATAGGACGATCTAGCTAAGGGGATTTATGTCT